CTGGATGTCTCAAAAAAAAAAAAAAAAAAAAACCCGATGACACCAAATTCGACTCAATCCAAGCCCAAATGGGTCCAAATCGATGACCCAAAGCACATTTGGATGATCTAAATCATAAATTGGACGACCAAACGATTTCCAAACATTACATGCTTATAGTCAAATCGAGCAGCTCGATAAGAAAAATCTAATGAGCCAAATATCGTTGAATTATGATATAATTAAGATATTCAAATATCCATTAAACAGTCCACAATCAAAGGGATTAACATTGGTCGTCCATTCAAACCACTCTCAACTTGCCATTGATCTCCAAAAATTCAACACATAGAGATAAGAGAGAATGGTGCAACATTCATAAGAGACATCAAAGTTTTTTTTTTTTGTGAAAATGCTTAAAAAGGTAAAAAAATCACGGGATCTTACTCAGTCAAAATGACTACACTAGTGTTGGTTGTTGATTACAAATAATGTCATTCTCAGGAGGAGGGCGCTGGCTCAATGTAGCACATTATATAGTTGAAGAATGAAATAATAGTTGTTCTTAAGAAAATATTGTCTTGCTTATACAGTTGGCAGGGTCTTAGTTGGATTATGACATTTAGAAGGATCGTAGTCGACAAGTTGCAAAGATTAAAAGTCATAGTTGGGTGAGGGTGATCAGAGGGACTGTATTTGACTTTTTATGGAGGTTAGAATGACAGCAGGCGAGCGACAGTGGTTGGAAGGACCGTAGTTGGGCGACAGTGGTCGTTGGAGAGACCCGAAGGACCATAGTCTGACGACAGTGCTTAGAGGAAGGCTCTCCAATAACTGCCAGATGGAGGTCCGACGGTGATGGTATGGAGGAGATTCAACAATGGCGGCTTGTTGGCACATATTTGTCAGTGGTGGTACTGGGATGGAGCTCCATGATTATTTAAGTCTCAGAGTTCTCGTCTTCTTCATTCCTTCCACTCTCCCCCTAAATGTGAAAAATAATGGGCTACTAATAGTTTTTTGGGAGTGACATGACTAGTAAATATGAAGAAGATCAATGGTAGGTTGGAAGTGTTCCATTAGATGACTGATATTAGCTCCCTTATTCATGGAGCATTTATCAAGCTTTTAAGTACCTTAGAGATGTTAGAATTGAGTGATCTTAGACTCATTGGATTCGTCTCGTCAAACCGTTTAATTCGACTATAAGCATGCCATATTTGAATATTGTTTGGTCATCCAATTAATGCTTTGAAGCTTACAAGAGTATTTTTGGTCCTTAGATTTGGGCTCGGATTGAACTTAATTTGGTGTCATTGAATTCGTCTTCATGAGCTGTTCAATTTGATTATAAACTTGCTGAAATCAGAGTTTGGATGATGCTGAAATTTAGTTTATAAGTTTTTAATTTGGGTGCTCTTCAAGATTTATGCTCTTTCAGGACAATTTTTTGTGACAAATCAATAAACAAACTAATTTACAGTTTCATAAGAAATAAAAAAAAAATTGTTTATTTATATAGAAATAAAAATATTTTTTAATTTCTTACAAAACCGCAAGTCTCACATGATTTTAGTACATCATGATTTTATTTTCCAATATGACGCTTTTCTCAAATTAACGTCTGATTCGGGAGAAATTATTCTACGCGGACGCTGAACGTCGTACGAAAACTAATCAGAATAAGCCACATCGGTACCACTCGATACCGCAGCTGGGTACCGTGCTCGATATTACTAATATGACTCATTCTATTTAATCTCTAAATATAAAGCTGAGTTCAACGATCGCACATAATAATTTCTCTTGATTAGAACCCATACCTAAATTCAACAAAGTAATTTCTCCTCATCCGGACCCATACCTAAATTCAATTGGCAATGGGCTCTTTTTTTAATTTGGCCTAGTTCTGCGCAGATGCTTCATGCGGAAAACATGAAGTGCAGTAACGCCGTTAATACTTAATACCAACCGCACGCTTCTCACTTCCAGTAACGAAGCCTGATGAGAGAAAGCCTCGAGGAAGCTAGCTAGGAACGGACGAAATTTCTCTCTCTATATCTCTTTCAGTTGTTTTTCCCAATTTTAATTTATATTATATATTGTTGTTATTGTTGGTTGATTGTAGAAGAAGATGGTGTGTGTGAAAATCTAGGCTCTATTCTGGATTTTCGTCAACTTACTAGGGTTTGTTAATCCGATATTTTGGGCATCTTGAAAAATTTATATTGGTAATTTGTCACCGAGATGATGGTTGGTAGGTTCGAGTTGTTTCATCGGTGGAGATAAGCCCTAGCTTGGTGTTGCTCTTGTGCTTCATCTTGGGTTGGATCGGCGAGAATGTGGGGAAAATTCTACTGGCGGAAGAAAGGAGGGAAGAAAGCAGAGGGGATCGTGGTGCTCTTTGCTTGGCTCTCGAGCCAGGAGAGGCATCTGAGGCCATATGTGGATCTCTACTGGTCTCTCGGATGGGACTGCCTCATATGCCATGTCGATTTCCTGACTCAGTAAGTAAAGTTAGTTTGCGTAATTTTCTTCTATCTGTTTTGATGAAATTATTTTCCTTGGCGAAGAATAATCAAATAACTTTTTGAAATATCGGAAGCAAAAAAAAAAAAAAAAATCTTCTTTGAAATGTTTAGCTTCATTTGGAGTCATGTAAGTGATTTCCTCTAGCGAACATGGATGATTCTGACATAGAAAGCCATCGTAATTATTCTGTTAGGAATCGAAGGATTCAAAGCTTTTTTATTTGGCAAAGAGGTAACAGGACTGCAAGAGACCAACTGCTTATCTTCTATCTTTTTTCATTTCATGTGGTCTTGACTAGAGATATATTAACATTTGAGGCAGAGAATGCTTGTGTAGCATCTCAGGAGAAGCAGAAGTCTTATTAAGGAAGTTAGTGCTTTGTGTGAAATCCTGCCAAGAGGATTGGGAATCAAGATTTAGAATTTCTGTTCTTTTTTGAAATGGAATGAAAACCTTAACACATAGAAACTTGTTCTATCGTTTAACGCTTTAATTGTGCAATGTGTTCAGATTGTAAAAAAAGTAAACTGATGAGAGGCTTAATGTGGTGACAATGGGCCTCGCCATGTATTTTTGACAGGCATTTGTTAGTTTCTTTATATATTTAATCATAAAAATTTATACAATGTAGGAGTTATGTTAAAGAAGGCAACATTTAGGGCTGTTCATCTCTTCTTTGTTGACCCTCAGAGGTCTCTTTGCTCAAGCTCTATCTCTAGCCACCCAAATCATAGAGTCCCAGCCATGGCCATATCACCCTAGCCCTTGGATTACTCTAACAAAGACCTCGGTTTCTCAAGGAGACATATCCATTACCTCAACTCCATAGGTGAACCTAGCTCCCTTAATGAATTAGGTGCTATTCCCAGCCCTTGTCTAAAGTCAAGCCTAAGACAAGTTTGCTCAATGGCTAGTCTTGTCCCCTTATGGGTTGATCTAAAACCAAAACCTTCCGCTAGTGACATCTTGTCCCTTGGCTTGCCTTGCTGCCTTTCCTTAGTGACATATTGTCATATTTGGTTGACATGTACCACTCAACTTTATTTCCTTGTGGGAAAATAAAATTTTGAAGAGCCCACATAGATTTTGGGTGTTCCTATTTTTGTGATCAAATACGACATTGAGAATAGCGTACTATCTCGAAGGATATAAACAATATTCTACTATGAATTCATATACAAAAATAGGGTTTTAAAAATCTTTCACTTTCGTAATCAAATACAGATAGAAAAATAGCATACTGCCTCGAAAGACATAAATGTTATTCTAAAATAGTTTTGGAAGACAAAAGTGAGGTTTGAAAGGTTTCCATTTTTGTTATTAAATACAATGATGATCATATCATATCTCCTTAAAAAGATGAAAATGATGTTTTGCAAAGGTATTCAAATATAAAAACGGGTTTTAAAAATTATCTACTTTCCCAGAGATTTTTTCCTATCTTGTGAAAATAAGATAGAGTTTATTTTAATATGGAGTTGCAGGTTCTCCATTCACAACAAGGGCAAGACCTTATGATTAATTACATCCCGGGAGAAGTGAATCCCCCAAGAATACTCTTGATTAAAGTAGTGACAAGTATTTTCTTGGATTTTAAAGATTAAGACAATGATGAGGGATTTTGAAATTTTCAAGGAGACATGTTTAATGTTGAATAATTCTTTATGGAAGCCAAAATGATGAAAAGTATGGAGTACTTTAAGATTATGGGACCACCAAGAAGCACTCGAGTCTATCCTTTGCTGTGTTTTAATATTTTAGAGAGAGAATTTTTATGTTTGAATTGACATTTTATTAAAAAATTGAGATTATATTCTTAGAAGATGAGGACTTAAGATTTGAAATATATCTCAGAACCTAGATCTAAATTGGGTACTATAAAGTAGAGACTCGAACCTATCTAATGAAGTGCAAGTTGGGTTTACATCTTACCTGAAACAAAAATGATGTGGACATCGTCAGAGATTTCGACATGTGTACCATTGGAGACACAGAAGATCGACGGCTACGATCGGGAGCTTATATTTTTTGAGTAATTTATGTAGTAATTTATTTTATTTTCAGTTTTTACTGTTTTACCATTATGGGTGGTCATTTGATGTTGTAGTCCCGAGGGCATTTTAGTCTTTGTTTCTTTTCTTTTTGATGAGACCTATATATAGGTCATTTCTATAGTATTTGGGGTGATGATGATTATGAATGAAATTCCAGTTTTTTTTTTTTTTTTTCTTTGATCTATTTGTGAGTTAATGAGAGGAAAATGGAGAGGGCTTGCATCACCCGTCAGCCACCGGTGGATTCCGGGGACTCGCGGTTAGTACCTAATATTCCCCCTTTTCTTCTTCTTTGGGCACCACCACCGGCCGCCTAGCCTAAGCTTCCCAAATCCCTTCCCTTTTCCTCCCTAACCCGCCACCCTCGCCAACTCCCTAAGCCGCCGGCCTCCCCCCACCCGTCCGCTGCCATTCTCCCTCAAATCCCCTCCCTGCCGGCTTCCCCTAGCTTCCACTAGCCGCCGGCCCCTTCTCCAGTGAGCTTTGAATTTTGAATTTCAAAATTCGAATCTAACTTAAATACTTTTCTAAAATAACCTCCCTCAATTAAGAAGGTGCATTCATTTAAATTCAATTTGATATTTGAATTTCAAATATTTTCCTCCCTAATAAATCCTATTTAGGAAGCCTCTATCTTAATTTAATTTCAGATTTAAATCAATTCCTAAATCAGCTCCATGAATCCACATACATTGACACAAAATAAACCCCCATAGGGCCGGCCCCTCTTTCCTCTCTCCCTCTCTCCACTTTGCCACCTAAGCAACATTTAATTCCCCCCTAAATCCCTCAAGTAACTGTCGGCCCCATTACTCCCTTAATTGGGTTGATTTGAATTTCAAATTAGCCTCCCCCTTTAAAGAAAATCTGAAATTAAACTTCTGATTTTCCCTCTCATCTCTTTTCCCCCAAGCTACTTGATTCAACCAAAAGAAACCCTAACCCTAGCTGCCCCCTCACCTCCCAAGTCATCTCCCATCATCCCCTCCCTTTCTCCTCACCAATCTCCAGTGTGCTCTTCCCCAACCGTCGCCACCACTATGCATGGCCGATCCGGAAGTCGACCATGGTTCCTTATTTGATGATCAAAGACGAACCAACATCCTTGAATCTCCTTTCTTTGATGTGAACCTAGACGTGGATTCTTCCGTGGAGGATTACTTACATCCCATCCTGTTTACATTAGTATCTTCCATCGAGGAGCACATTCTTCCCAGATGTTGGATGCTCACTAGTCATCCCGTGGATTCCTCGTCGCCGGCTACTTCCCTAACAGACTAGACTTTGGGCACCATTTGTCTCTTAGAGGCATCGCTCGGTTTGCTCTCAATCTTCCTCCGTTAAAGCCCCACCGTCAAGAGCGTGAGTGAGGGACCAAAGGTGAAGAGTTCTATTTGTTAGCCGTGGATTATTGCTTTTGCCATAACATTACTCTCTCTATTTTTAAGATGTTAACTTGATAGCATCCCGTTAATCTAGTTGTAACTACATGCTTTGCATAGTCTCTAAGTGATAATTCCGAAAGCCGAACTTGGGTAAGCACTAAATCTATAACTAGCAAAGTTTTAATAATCTTATATTAAAATTCCCAAACAATTCTTGTTCCTTTGCATGGTTTCACATCAAAAAAGCTAGCTAAATCACCTAATAGCATCAAAATCATGATGTCCAGTCTTTTGAAAGACGTGTAAGCTGTTGTTTAAGTTTTTGAAATTTATGGTCAACATCTAAAGAATATCCTGAGTGGCCCTGGACTTATGAAGGATGTTGTGCATCTAAAATTAATGCAATTAAAATTTTAATTTTACTTTGTTTCTAATGCATTGCATGATAGTTGAAATACTAAAATCATAAATGCTTGAAATTTTAAAAAGGCTTAGAAATTAATTTTTTAGAAGGCTAAACTTCCCCAAGTTTAACACCTCATCCTTATAGGTCGGATTATCTGAACTTTACCATTGGGCGGGGAAGTGTCTAAAACAATGATAGAAGAAATACTTTAATATGCATGCGACCCCGGACGGTATTCAATTTACTTTCTTAGAACGTTTATCTTTCTATATTATTTATTCATAAATTTTATTTTTAATTATGAGAAGAAAAATCTTTTTATTCCTAAGAGCCTTGCAAAATTCTTAGAATCTGCAATGATTACAATCTGTCTCCTTAAGGAATGAGTTAGCTGCTTACAGCTTAATTAATAAGATCATATAATTGTGATTGATAGAACGTTTTTCTTGGAAAATATGACATTTCACTCCTTGAACACAAATTTGCATATGTATCATTCCGTCACCTTTTAATTGTATCAGATACTTCTTCACAATTTCCTGCTGAAAACTTCCTTATCATGTAGGTTTTTCCCTGAGAAGGCGACAGAACTAGCCTGTGGTGTTCTTGATGAGCTGATTAAGGTTCGTATAATTTAGGCAGAAAGCTCCATCAAATTCATTAATAAGTATGTTCGTTCCACTAAAATCACAACGAAGTTAGTTAACTAATAAATTCATGTAATAAATGTAATGAACTCTCATGATTCCTGTTTCCTACTATTGGTGTCCATTACTCTGAAACCCATTTGTTACATTACTATTTTCACTTTTATTGCTTGGACTAAATTAATTTATGATGTATGTTTTATAATTGCTCAAAAGTACAGTGGTTTTTCTTTGAGATGTTGGTGATGATGAGAAAATAAAAAATTCAAAATTTGCTTCTAATAGGCATTTTAATTTTGTGATTTATTGGTGTTCAAGAGTAGGACTCTATGACACAACGGTGTGGACATGGGAAATAGACACAATAGGGTATAGACATGATACACGACTATTGTTGAAAATATAGGTTACTGTCAAGTATTGGACACATTGCATACTTACATATATATGTATATACATATATGTATGTATGTATGCATATATGTATATATAACACTTGCCTCTTTCAAATTTAAAAGGGTCTCTCATTAGTCTTCGATTCATCTGCAGTTTTGTTATTCCCATCTTCGTTATTTCATTTAACCCATGAAAATGTGTTCTATATGAGTGTTTATTTATTATTTTTATTCGGAAATGCTGACGGCATGTCCAACTCTTGTTGGACTTGTGTAGGGTGTGTTTTGTATCCTGCATATGTTGATCATTGCATACTTTAATATTATTGGTGGATGATAAGTGTATCATTAATGACTTCATTGGCAGTTGGTAGATAAATTTTGATGTCATTTTATAGGTTTAGCATTGTCCGGGCTGCTAGGATTGGCCCTTGTGAAGTCTAATGAAGTTTTTGTCTGTATTTCTGTGAATGGCAGGAATTAAAAATTAGATCATTGCCTATTGTACTTGCTGCTTTTTCTGCTGGATCAAAAGGCTATTTTTTCAAGGTTCTCCAGGTACAACTTTACTGATGCCTATTATTTCCTCTTTATATTGCATTCAAGGATAAGTTGCTGCTTGCACATATTAGTAAACTTCTTACCCTTTTCTGTAGTTTGTCGGAGGAAAAAGTTTGGGACCACATACTCAGGTATGCCTAATGTTCTTTGGTTGCTGTTTATTTTTGGCATTATTTAGAACTCTTCCGTACTTACAATCAAAATAATGTTAGTTAACTTCAGAATTAATTTTCATTACACTTTCTGGTTTCATAAATCTTTTTTTTTTATTGATACTTTACAGTGAAGTTAAACACTAATGCCCATTGACTTATTCACGCATTTTGACTTTCTATTAATTATAATTGTAGCTAGATCATTGCATCCCTGAATCTTTTTTTATTTGTTAATTGCAAATGGTTGATTCTGCCTATTAAGAGTTTTTGTACGCTTAAGTAGAAATGAAATTTTCTTTCATATTTGAAGACTATTCATGCATAGTTTTGCTGCATAAAATTTGGAGATTTTCATTGAGAAGATATAAGAATAGCGGACATACTGATTAGTAGAAAAATAAATATTGCTTGTTTGTAATAATTCAAATGGTAAGTTGAAAAATTCAAGGACATTGGAGAATTGTACGCTATTATATATTTATATGTAGAAAATATTAATAATAAAATGTATAGAGAGTTGAATGATGAAAATTTTGAGGTTAGTAAAGTTAGTGCTAGGGTGATCACTATTAAATTATTGGTAGTACATTTAAATTTTGTTGATGCTTATTTCTCCTCTAATTTGATTATAGAATAGTTTGAAAAGAAATTTTTGGAAGAGGCAAATGAACTATTACAATATATATTGCTAGTTTGCATGGATGGAAATATAGTTTCTAGTAGGATTGACAATGAGAGAATTCATGATGGGAATTAATAGGACATATAAATGTGATGAGAGAAGCTATACTTGATTTTCCTGTAGCATATGATCTTATGATATAATGGACACATACTTGAATGAGAGGAGCATGCTTGCATTCAAAAGTGGAGCCACCATATCACAAGTAGGCTCTTTTTTACTTAAAAAGAAAGAAAATTTATTTTGCAGTAATTGTAAGATGATTCAAGAAATTTTTTTATTATAACAAAAAGTAGTTATTAGATATATATCATAAGAGTATAGATAAAATAATCAAAAGGACCGATCTCCTAGAATGATGTGGTGAAACTAAAAATGTGAGAAGTTGGCAATTTTTCAAATTATGGTGCTAAATGAGCCAAGTTATAATTTCTTTGTTGAGTTGGAACCTAATATGGGATAAAATTGCTTGCTCCATTAAGAATATTATCGTACAAGTTTAACGATTATCTATATATTGATTCTATATAAAAGAGATTTAGTGGCGAAATGAGGAGGTGTACGATGCCATTATGAAACTAATTGTGCTTCTAAGGAATAACACGACCCACTTTTATAATGATTTTAGGTACAAGTCTTACAAAACGTTGTCATCAAAATAAAAGTTATAACTTTTATTGTGGCACTAATAAAGGGGAGAAAAAAAGAGAGAGAATAGTTTAGGCAAGCTATAAGAGATTTAGACACTTTTATCCATTTGGCATCAATAAAATCATTGATAATATCATCCTAGTTAAAGATGAAAACATCAAGGAAATATATAAATATTATTTTTTAAGTTAAACTTTTTTTGGAAAGCATATTTAACCTAATAATGAGGTACATTAAATATGATCCCTGAAGTGAAGTGAAGTGATTTATAAAGATGCATAAAGGTAAAGCTTTGAGTTCAGGTGAGATTTTTAGTGAGATTTGAAGAGTTCTGAGTGGTATTACTTTCATAGGTTGTTCCAAAGAAATGTTGAAAACTAAAAGAATGCCAAATAATTGAAAAAAAATTATTTTAATACCTTATTTGGAAAAAAATGAAATGTTCAAGATTGCGGTAATTATTGAGGAATCAAAGTGATTAGTTCTATAATGAAATTATGTGAGGGAGTAATCAAACATAAGTCTTCGAAAATTATGTTGATGGCAAAGAATGGATTGTTTTCTTATTCCAGGAAGATGCATTATGGAGATATTCTGATATTAAAGCATTTAATGGAAAAAAAAGAGAACAACAGATCTTAATTTGATTTTTATTGATCTTGAGTACTATGAGAGTTTATTAGGTGGAAGTTAAAGTTAAAAGGCATGCTAATTGACTTTCTAATGGGGCTGCTGATGTGACTAAGCCAAAAGTTTTATGATCATGATATCCTTGCTACCTTGAATGGTTTAATCAGAGTGGATGCTTGTGTAGTTTCTTTTTTCAAATTCGGATCATTTAGTTGTCGATTTTGTGTGGTTTGTGTCTCACTTTAGGCTGGTTTGTATAATATTCTTTGACTTTATTGTTTGTGAAACTTGATCGAGCAATTAAAAAAAGGTTGCGTGCCAAAGATATTTTGAGATTCTTAAAGATATGTCTATTGTAGAATTGACTAGTATTGAAAATTGTTATGGGGTGATAGAGTTCTTAATCACAAATGAATTACAGAGAGGATTAACATGGATTATATATTTTATTATATTGGTTATGAAGATGCTTCTAAAGAATATTCAAAGCAAGGTATTTGATTGTATGTTTGAAGTTATGGGAAAGAATTAGAATATAAAGCTTAAAAAATTACATTGGCAACAAAAAAATAATTTATGTTTTGTTAAAAAGATCCACTTTGGATAGTATTTTATATAAAGGAAATTAATGAAAACATATTGATGGATATGGAAATCATCTTCATATATTTTTAATTGACCTTAAGTCCTATGATAATTGATTTGGTTCACATTAAGAGAAGAAAAAAGTTATCAAAGATATATTGAAGTTCTTAAAGATATGTCTAATGGAGCATGAACTAGTATCATAGACCAGTTCAAGAGGGACGGTCCAGCCGGCCCAACAGTTGGGCCAACCCTTGGTCTACAGCAGGCTTCCGCATGTTGTTCCGCCCATGCCTTTTCCCACCTCCCTTGGAGTGGGGTCTACTTGAGAGAGAGAGAGTTGAATTTGGGGAGGGCTCTTTAGTCTTTGGAGCTATTATTGTGTTTGGTTTAAGTAGGAGGGAATTAAGGTTTGGGTTATCTTGTAGTTGAATTATGTGATGCTTTGGCGTTCTTGGGCTTTAGCAGCGTCTAGAGAGTTGGTAGAGATTGATCCTCCTCTTGAATTGGAAAAAATATTCTGTGCGGATATCGGACGGCGTCTGGTACCACTGTGTACCGGGTGACGTGGCGCGTTTTTGTTTGTTTCCGGACCGTCTGGTGCTGTATAGAATAATGTCTCCTTGAATTGAGGATCAATTGTATCTTGCTATTTTTCCTTCAAATTTAGTCAATTACTACGTTATTATTGCTGTTTTTCTGGATTTATTTGGAGATTTGTGGAGAGATATCACTGAAATTCCATTATTGACAAGTTTCACTTGAGTTCTACAACTGTTTCCTATCATATTTGTGGAATGATAGAATTTTTTTATGCCCCCATCACATTAGGATTATATTGCGGATAAAATAACATTACATCCATTTTTATTGGTATTGATTGTGGAGATGCATATGAAGTTTATTTAAAGCGGGGTGACTTAGTATACATTTTTTTTTAATGGTAGTTTTAATCAATCAGGCATTAGCTAAAAATGCTTATACATAAAGGGCTCACAATTAAAAAAGATATTAAATATAGGATATGCAATATCAGTTGATGTGATAATAATATGTATCAATCATGATTTCTAAAAAAATAATGAAATGCCTTTAGAGTACTATGGGGCAGTATCATTAATATTTAATGTTGCATTTTTAAAATTGTAATTGCTATGGCCATGCTGATGGCTTCTTTTTTGGGTGGTGAAGAAGTTATTCATGGCCTAGTTGAGTGTGACATAAACTAGATTAAGATTGATAAGAAACAAATTTAGAAAGGATTGATAAAAAAATAATTATAATATGATAGTAGCATTTATTAGTGAAAAGTTGATATGATTGGGCATATTGCATGAAGAGTAGAAAACACACTAATATTTTTGGTAGAAAAAATTACGGATAAAAGGAATATGAAGGAAAAAGGGAGATCAAAGCTAATGGCTTGAGTGTGCAAAACTATTTACATTTGACGCAATACTAAGTAGGAAAAAAAAAGTGAAGATTCTTGAGGATGATGGTGATGAACTTGCAGGATGATTATATGTTGCTGAGAGAGTGCATCTCCGGGCAAATTTATGACTCAAGTCCTGTCAATTTCAATGATGATCTGAACGTTCAGTTTGTGCTTCATCCATCATTTCTTAAAATGAACTATCCTCCAAGAATGGTTTCATGGATGGCAAAAGCTTTTGCATCTGGTTTGGATGGTCTCTTTCTCAACAGTTTTGAAGCACAGCGTGCTGAATATTGGCAGGCTTTGTATTCCTCAGCTGTAAGGCTATTTTTCTTTTCGGTTTTGTTAACTCAGCCTTTATCAAATATAAAAGATTCATCATTTTGTTCAATTTTTTGGAATTACTATGAATGCAGAGCATGGGTCCTTTCCTCATACTTTGTTCTGAAGATGATAAATTGGCTCCCTGCCAAACTGTGTGTAGTTTTGCTCAACGTTTACAAGAACTAGGTGCAGATGTCAGCTTTATCAAGTGGGGCAGTTCTTCTCATGTAGGTAAGTTTTTGAGCAACTCGTTATTGTATTTTCCTGAAGGAAGGTTTACCAAGCTTGGATAGTGTGTCTAAGCTTTTATTCTGTGCGGACACCAGACGGTTCTCCCATCCGGTTAAGCGTTCGGTACCGAGTGGTACCGAGGGCGGGTACTGAACTCGGTACCGAGCTCGGTACATTTTTGAGGTGACGTGACGCATTTTTATTGGTCTCCGGACGCCCTCCAGACTCCGCACAGAATGATAAATCTTCTAACCTTTGGTTGAATGGCACACAACTACATCCCTTATATACACAGGCTTACAACACAGAAAAAGAAAACTTGCGGCTCATGCATTATTCTCCACTTTTTTGAGAATAGATTCCCTTAACATTGAACTGTATGAAACTCCATCTTTTATGCATAATAGATCTTACGTAGAATTTAAAAAAAAAAAAAAAGATCTTACGTACAAGCTGCAATCAATTAGTAATATCGCCCAGCTACCATTTTTCATAGGAATTACTTAGGGAGCGGACGTCACATTCATTTATTAATCTCTGCTAAGAGTGTTGCTCCTCAAACCTGTGCTCTCATAGGCTTATATCCGTTTAAACCGTGTCCAACCAAGATCATTTGTCAATCAAGGATGCAAAGCATTTTGGTTAACCCATTCTTAGGCTTTGTTTGGGAAGGCTTTCTTACTGCTTCTTAAAGCAGTTTTCTAGTATTAAAATTTTAATTTTTGAACTAAAAAGTAGCTTTAAGAAGTAGCAAAAAATCGTCCCAAACTACCAGGACTTTTAGTTCAATCCTAATCAACCACCGGTTGTGTGGGTTTAATTTAAGAGGCCTTTGTCTATGAAGCATTAATCTTATGTTAGAGCAGTGAAAGTTACATCCTGTATTGGTTTCTCTTGCAGCTCATTATAGGCACCATCAAGGCGAGTATAAGGCTGCTGTAAATGAGTTTCTTGCCAAGGTATCTCTCAACTTTTCGACAAAGCAGCTCAATAGAGCTGCCCATAGCAAGATACCCGAATCAGTCTGCGATCTCCATGGTGCAGCACTTAGTTCAAATGAAAGCTTAATGAGAGTAGCCGTTGAGCCCAGTGATCACTTCTTCTTGCCTAGATCAAACGAGTTCAGTGATACCAGACCTGCCATTGATGAACAAAAGGGTGAGTTGTTTCAGCTCCCAAGTATAAAACCCCATGGAGTCCTCAGCCAGATCCTCTTTGATGTCTGTGTCCCTAAGAACATTGAAGGCTGGGACATTAAGCCAATGTCATCCTTGAATAGTAGTCATGATTGTCGACATGGCCCTTTTAATCCAATCAAATACATCAGACGGTCCAGGCTGTAGAACCTTTCAGATAATGGGAAAATTATTAGGTGCGGAGATTGGACGTAGAGATATATCCGGACATCCACTTAAAATTTAACGCGTTGAGTGCACTTTGGTTGCACTTTTTTGTGCGCTTTACCTGCACTTTACATGCGCTTTGGCTGTGCTTTTGATGCTCTTGGCTTTAAAGTTCAGCGGACACATTAAATATATAAAGTAAAAAATAAATTCAATTGAATATCCATATGTTCATTTCATGTGTCAATATTTTATTGGAGTTCAGACGTATCTCTATGTTCGGCGTCCGCACCTAATAATTTCTCAAGATAAGGAGGAACTCTTTATGTAAATATGAGTAGTTCAGCATCCCTTGCGCTTCTAACTTGTGTCATTTGTCTTCATGAATGAAGCATGTATAAATGAGTTGATTTATACTCGCAGTGTTTCAAGCATAACAGGCAATGGTCTGATCCAATGTATATTAATTTCCATTAAATAAAATTATTATCTAAATCTAAATTCTAGCCGTTTATGATTTGTAATATATGCGTGGCATTCTTTCTGTTGTGTACGAATTGTATTTAAAATATTTATGGCACAAAATATTTAAATTTAAAGGTGGTTCTTATTTCTTAATGTTATATGGTGTTATATGTTAAATATTTCATTAATAAAAATAATTATATTAAACAATTATATTTTAAAATACAAATCTGATATATAGAAATTCCAACTTCATTAGAAACCAAAAAAATATAATTAAACTGGAAAATATTTTTTTGATTTCTAATATCTTAGATATTTAGATATGTTAGATGTATTAGATATTTTGATATAATTGTTCATGTATTTAGATAATTATAATTAGTAAAATATATTAGATATAAGTAATATAAAGATTTAATTCTATATTTAGATATATTAGATATAACTAAATATATTAGTTTTTAAAATTTAAAATTCGTTAAGCTCCTTTAATTAAATTGATAGAGTAAAAAATACCAACGAAGAACAGATTAATAGCTTATTAATTACCAATATCAGTTAGAAGAAATAAAGTTGCTATCGCTTAAATAAACAAAATACATATCTAATATCCCAAATAATTTTGGTAATGCCTGATTCTCTGGTCTCTACTAACTTAAGAAAATTAAAAAGAAAATAAAAATAATAAAAAAATAAAATTAATCTTATATTATTAAAAAATTATAATTTTATATTTATTGCAATTATGAAGATTTTCTGTATATAATTTGTTAAATTACCCCCAAAAAAAATCTTTCTATATTATTTCAAATGCAACGCTTCATCAGTTTCATTTCCTCACTTAAAGAACGAAATATTATTTGTTTCTTAAGGACGATTAGGTAACGACGGTCATTATTTCGGAATTTCTTCAAAAGCTAAGACCAACGCAGCAGTTTCAGATAAATGTGGTCGGAGTCAAAAGTCAATAACGGAATTAATACGGAAGCAAATATTGACCGTTTGATCCAATTCTGGGGCTGGAAGACTACAGGACTTATTTATTTATTTTATTAACGAGAGATTAATCTTTAAATTAGCAGAAGAAGCATTGATTAATTAAAAATTAAATAAGATCAATTGAGCAAAAACTAATGATTAGCATTACTTTAATACACCAAATTAAGTTGATGTAATTGAAATGATCGATCTATGGTTATTCTAAATTCTAAAGGCAAAATGTTTGAGGGAAGAAGCACGAATTCGTGCGTTATTAAAGGGGAAGAGCGTAAATTCGGAATAAATTTTAAAAGAAGCAATTCCTATAAAGTACGGCGTATTGTAGAATTGCGCTTGAAATTAAGCCCGCGTTACAAAGAAAAGAATGCGCTGATCTGATAGCGCATTATGCAATGCGCTGAACATTTAAGCGCATTCTTAAGAAGAAGCGCAGAATGCGCTTAAATGTTCCAGCGCATTCTTAAGAACCTGAACTGTTCCAGCTGTTGAATGATTATGCTGCTTTGGCGGTTATCCCGACCAGATCCGAAAAATGCGGTCAATTTGCGTGCATGGTGCATCAGTGCAGCTGGGATGGGTGAGAGGATGATAAGGCTTAATGATAGGGCGTTTGAGTTGAGCCGATGGAGTTAATGTTGTTATTTTTTTTTGTTGGGAATGAGAGGTACATAGAATGCCTATAAAAAACGGAGGCTGTGTGAAGAGGGAATGTGCATCTTTTCTCAGCTCTGCTCTCACTTCCTTGAGCTTCTGAGGAGAAAGAAATACAGTTTTCCTTAGTTTGTTTTTATTTTTCTTGAATATATTTTTATTTAGGTTTTTTTAAAACATTTATTTGTGATCTCCCAAAAAAGTGAATTATGATTTAATGTTTCTTGATGTATTGCAAACGAAGAACTCCTGTTGCTAATTGTTGCTAATTTGTTGTGTTTTTATTTGGCTTTTAGGATGTTTTAGTCTATTTTAGTAGTTGGTGTATATATTGGAAACATTTTTTTTTTTTCATCATGTATTATTTGAAGTTATTTCTAGATTTCATGCGTACCGGCAGTTTGCTATTTATCCATATTGCAAATCCATGTATTGGTTCGCCAGAGTCTATTAATAATAATAATTTAAAAGTTCGATGATTAATTATTTGAAGTATAATTAATTTTATAAGTGCACTTACCGTAGATAATTACTTCAAATGAAGAACTTAAAATGTGGGGAGCGTTGACGAGGCCGCTTTTATATTATTTTGTATAATTTCCAAATTTTAAAAGAAGATTAACTGATTGTAATTTATTTTGGTGATATCAAATTTTGGTTGAAAATAATGTTTCCTGAGTAGGCAACTGGTGCAGTGTGAAGAGAATGCCTATTTTTTTTTTTTTCTGAATAGCCAAAATTCTGTAGAAATGTTTATTTCTGAGAGTAGCAGATCTGTAGTAATAATTTTTTCTTCCTGGGATAGCAATGTCTGAAATTTTTTTTTTGTAAAAAAGTTTGCAATGCTATGAAAAAACTCTTCTGTAATCTCCAAAAATAAATCTTACGTCTTAGCATAAAGAAAAAAAAATTTAAGAAATTAAAAATAAAAATGAAGAGTAGATGAAAAAGATAAAATAAAAATTTTAAAAAAAAGGAAGATAAACAAGCAATGCGTCAATCTAAGAGAAACTTAGAAGAAACAGTTTTCAAGGGCAATTATTTTATGAATATAAATTTCTTTCTGAATTTGATATTATGTTATTATAGATATATGATTAAAATATAAATTTTTCCAACCCTTTGGAAAAAACAATCGGATCCGCAGAATGGTTGATCCATATTATTTATGGGAGGAAGAAAAAACGAATAAATTTTTTCCCTTAGCAAAATAGTTTGATGTTATACACAGTTTACAAAAAAATTTTTAAAGTAAAAGAGAATTTGATTGGTGGAAATATGGAAGAAAATTCCTTTTAATTCCATTTTTATGCGGAATATTTTTTTGAGAGTCTGTATAAGTGAATTAGATCAGGTTATTGTTTTGTTAGAGAGTTGAGGAAAGCAGAACTGAGTTGCGTAGGTATAGTTGTAACTTTGAAGTTTTATTCAAATCCCCATATATAAATTTACTATTCGTTTTGGAGAGTACATTCAACGCAGAGAGAGCGAAGGAGAAGATATTCGATTCAACTATTGTATAATAAATGTTTCAAAGAAATAATTGAATAATTATTAAAACAACAGAATTATATGTATTCCCTAAAGTTTAGATCATTTTTATTTTTATTTTCTTTAACATTAATGTAGTGAGTTATGTTAATGTTTTCTTATTTTTAGAATTTAATAAAATTGATGAAAAACACTCAAAATATTGTTTCAGTATTTTGAAATTCTTTAGAAATTCAACACGACGCATTGGCTACAACCATTGTGTCCCTACCAATCCAAAGATTTTGCCACCTGCCCCACATTAAACCTTAGTTAATTTATTTGATTTTTTAAAATTTAAATTTTTATAGTAGTGTGAATATAAATTTAATTTATCTAATTTCTTAGAAAAATGAAAATTTAACTTTTTTGGCTTCTGAAAAATAAAAACAAGGAAGCAATTTGAATTTTAGGAATATTATTTTATTCATTATTGAAAAAAATTGTTTAAGTCAAATATACAATAAAAAAATATATTTTGGAAAGCATACATGTAGAGAACATTTTTAAAATGGGGTACTTTAGTTATTTGTTTGTGTAAAGCAAGGAGTAGGACTTTAGCCGAACAATGAAGGTTCAACATATGAATCGAATAATTGAATTACGTTCATTATCAAAAATGGGGTCCAAAAGTGCATTATGATTCATAAAACGTTTTCACTTCGTGTTTATATTGCACCATGATAAGTTGAAGATTGCTTAAAAAAAATATGACATTTCTAATAATTGACCTCCTCTATCTTAATTAGGATTAAGAATGTCACGCTTTGCACTTTTTTTGGTGGAGAGCTGGATCGGGGATGAGTTCACAGCCACATATATGGTGGGCAAAATCGGCCAATAATTGTTTGATTATGGACATATTCACTAACTATTGCTAAAAGACGATAATGGGCGCACTTAGATAAATCACACAACAAATACTGTCAGAAAAGCCTACATGTCAACTGAAAATTGTACCGCACAGTAAGAAACCACAACTCTATCATGTGCCTGGGTCCATTCTATATCTCTCTGGATATTATCTATTGGAATCATCTCCGTTCGTCTATCTAGTTATCTCTACTTCAATCTATATGGCAAACATACTCGCGGCTTATTCATGTTGTCTCTCGAGGAAGTTTGGTCCAACTCACTGACAAAATAAACTCACCACCGGGCTTTCAGAAGATTGTCAGTGTGGGTAGACCAAGAACCAACAGATTTCGTAACACAATGGTATCGTTATACTAGTATATTAAAGATCTACATTGCAAGCATTATAATGGTCATATGTTGCCAGAATAGATATCTAGTCGATGTGGTAATATACGATATAATAATTATTTACTTCTATCTATATGTATTAATGTTCGTTTCGATATACTAAAATAATTAATTTTTTTCTTAATTATTTTAGAAGAATATCATCGGTTTTAGATCGAGGGATGCAATCTGAAAAGCTCACGACTAAGGATTGGATCCGCATCATATATATCTAATATAGGTCGAGGCCACGCTGAGCGTTTTTAGTATCAAAATAATTATAATATATTTCAAGGGTTGGTTACTTCTCCCCCTGCCAGCAAGATATAAATATTACAAACTCACAATCATGAATCTGATGTTGAGCAAACATCGAATCTGAATTCCATCCACTATAATATATTAGAAGAGCAACATCTATCAAACGACGCAAGAATGGAGAGCTCCTGATAGATTATACTGGGCTCGTAGGCTCTCTCTCATGTAGAAGCTGGATAACATGTATCTTACTATGCAAAGCTTACATATGCTTAGCATATTTCGGTTGTATGGATTGTCGATGATATGTTAAGACCACTAAACCTGTATTTAGTGTGCGTCTGCGTGTC